GAAAATTACAAGACTAATTACTACTAGACTACGGAAGTTTATGCAATTTTAGGTACCAATACACAAAACTGAAATTTGTGGCAATTTTTTATTATACTAATGGTAATACATGAATAGTATCGAATATTATTAAAATCTCTATTTCATTATATTTTGCGCAACTAGGAAATGCTATACATACATGAACATCCGTAATCTACTAATTGCAATTTGTATTGGCACAAACCCTAATTGTACTTTAGATTAGAAAACATTCAGTTCAGAAATTACCCACAGTTTATTTGAACAACAATTGGTATCGGTGTAAGTAGCAAAAAAAGCGAATATTTATTTTGTATGAACTTATTTACAATAAATTAATACTTTGTCGGATATATCCGTGATCCTACTACAGCTTTTACTCTACTGTCCACCGATTGAATTAGATTTGTTGTAAAATCGCTAGATATAAAAATAATAGTTTTTTAAATAAACTGTCTATAATTTCTCAGTTGAGTATATCTTAATCTAAAATATATTAATTAACTGTTTGAAGCACGGTAGTTTGAAAAATGTCCCACCTTTTTTTCATACCCAACTCGTATGGTGGGACGTTATTCATACCACTTTTAAATCGTGAAATTACTAAACATAAAACATAATTTAAATAAAATAATATTTTGACATATTTTATACAAAACGATGTCTGAGCAACTAGGCATATTTATTATTGTAATATTCTATGTTTCAAAGGGTTAAGGTTTATACTGGTAAATTCTAATTTTAACATTAATAAACAGGTGAAACGTGAGTGGGCGAGTATTTTAGTAACTGTACACGTGTATCCTCCATTATTTATGTATGTTCTGTACTATTATCTTGCATTCGTCTGATTTATACAGCGGAAAAACCAGACCACAGGACGATGTAGCGTTCTTTATGTCACTCGATTCAATATTTTGCGATTGTACTATCTTTATAATACCACACTGGTATGTAAAATAACAGGTGCCTCTCGTACGGTCGTTTTAATTGAATGCTATATCGCCCTCATTCATTCTGTCATTCGATTGCAACCCCCACGCCTCGACATAAACATGCCACAAACAACCCATACCGTAAACTAAAACTTTCTCCTATCGTCGAGTCTTCCTTTTCTCCTGTCTAACTCCACCATTCAATTTTATATCCCGATTCTTTCTCATTCTGCTCTCTTATGCTAGCCTAATGTTTCTTTATACGTCGTGTACAGAGTTTCTGAATTATAAATGTTACCTTCAAAATATCGTTGTATGAAACAAAAATATTTAGCAAAATTGATTATATTTGCTTAACCTTAACCTCATTTATTTACTGATATAGAAACTACGATGAGGAACAGTGTATATTTTTACTTATTATAGATGTATTTGTATAGAAATTGAAACCACTTACGAGAAATGTTCTCGAAAAGTGTTACTTCCCCGATTTTGATAAAACTTCGCACAGTTATTTGAATGGTCCGACCTACGAATTTTGTCGTGTCTGGGCAGTGCTCGTTTCAGACTATAAAGGAGAAACCACTAATATTATTGGAATCACCCTTGTTACCCATTCCTATACATATAACTCCTAGTCTACAATAGATATGAAACAATGTTTCGCTGTTTTTAAAGGCCTATAAATGAATAACAGAGAATTTTTAAAAGAAATCATTTGGTACGAAAATTTTATTTTGCGCTCCGATTTTTTAAGGGGAGACAGAACGGTTTCTTATTCTAAAATTCATATCTTCCTCGGTATGGAAAATCAAACTTTTTAAATTATATTTTCATAAAAATTTTTCGAACATATTTTGCTATTCATTTATGGTAATAGTTATTTTTATAACGACTTTAGGTAGACTGTAAGTTGAAATACAGGAAGCGTATTGTGGATCAAGTAACACTGCGGCGTAAATGTTTCCAAGTAGAACTGGTACGTAATGGACAGACACAATAGTGAATCGTATAAATACGATTGAAACTTGGGATTTAATAAATTTATTAAATCCTACGTTTGACTACGTTCGACTTGGTTTGGCTAGAAAGTAATGGCAGATTTCTGCAGTGACATGATATTGGTTTTATTTCAATACAAAACACTGCCTCTAATTAATAAAATATATAGTAATTTATAAAAGTCTTCGTACACCCCATAAAGAAAGTCACTTTTGTGAGAAGCATAATTCCTTATTTCTTATGTGTTAAAGCATTCCTATAGACTAATACTTATTATTATGAAACAGTTATTACCTCATATGTTAATAAATAAACATGATATTATACAAAGTTATTGTTTATATTAAACTGACCATTATATGGGAAGTACGAAGACTTTTGCGCGTAACTGTTCATATCTTGAAAGGTGACAATTCAATGTGTCATTTGCATAAGAAGACCCTAACGATTACGTTAAAATTTCATAAAATCTTGTTTTGAAAATGTCTGACGTCAAGTGTACCTTCGAGTAATTCTGCTTCTTGATTTCCGTTCGTTTACATCAGTATCACCGTGCACATAGGAAAATCTTTTTCGTTGTTGGTTCCGCATTTTTCCGAATCCCAAAATAGAAAAGCATAATTCCACGAAGGTACATATTCCCGTCACTCATTTTCAAAACGGCAACAATTTCAGAAAATTCAACTAAATCATAATGATTACACTGCTGATTTTATGCATTTATAGCGCGTCCAATTGTCCGAAATTCAGTAGAGTAAAATGTTTAGTAAATTTTTGTGTAGTTTTTATTTTACATTGAAGTTTATAAAGCTTCTGATGCAGTAAGTAAAGTTTCGGTCTTTTCTAGTTTCTGTAAATATTTGAAAATTGATATTTGCATAAGATTTTGTCTTTAAAAATTGATATTTGCATAAAGATCCGTAGTCTAGTAATGACTTTTTTGTAACCAACGCGTTGAAGTGTCACCTTCCAGAACATGTATGCACCCCATTCTGTTTTTAGACGATAGAGACGTTCCGGATGAATGCGTGTGAACAAAATTCGTGTACAAAAATATACTATATCCATGGAAAAATGGGAGATTGATTCCAAACCGAAAAAATCAGCAAAAATAATGCAATAAACTATATGAAAAATTCATATTACAATCTTATAATTTTTACGTGTTTGCACTTTTTATTTTATAAAGATTGCAAATGTATATAAAAATGTAGTATATAAAGTAAATTTTCATATGAAACGAAGAAAAGTGGCTTGGTCACCGTCTTTTTGTTCGATTGGTGAAATTCTTTCTGTGATCTCTTGAACAAAATTAGTACATACTAGTCTCCTGTGGTGCTATTTCAGTGGTTTTAAGAACGAATCCAGTTATTAATCGCCGTGTTCGAGTTTTAGCTAGACTATTATTTGATTCTCTGTAAGATGCCATTAATGACTTCAGATCATGTTCAAGCTTATCCCTATTAGGATTATATTTGCCAACGTGATTACTCAATCTACTGATCAATTTAAGGCTTTCATTTAGGACCTTTCATTAAAATTTTTTTCTTAGAATTTCGGTCTATTGTGTTGAATCAAAACAGATCGTATAATGAAAGAACGAAATTTTTTATCTAATTCGTGTTAAAACATCGTGTACACAAAGCTTCTATAAAAACAGAATTGGGTGTATATTTTATTAGTTAGGAGCATTGTTGTGTATTGAAAAATAAGAAAATGCATCATCTGCTGCAAAAATCCGACATTACTTTCTGGCCAACCTCATACATTGGAGACCTACAATCAACAATGTATATTAGGTACTCAAAATTTACATTAATATGAAGGATAATTGTTAATTCTAACTTTAATATTAATCAAACACATGAGACATGTCATACGTAGACTGAGAAGATACTTCCGTGAGTAAATATAAACTATTTAGCAAAATACATCTGTAAGTATACAGAACAATTAATGTGTGTCTGTGTTATTTACGGAGGGAAATGATTTTCCACGTGTACCAAGCCGCCTGTAATCCAAACGAACGAGGACAACGCCGTCAACAGTGACGACGCAGCTGCTGCAACACGGAACTTTCCTACTCCGACACTTATGCAATATTTCCCTGTCTCCTTTGTCGCAGCTATTACATTGTTGCGTCGGTGTAATAATCGAACGCACGTCGCACGTCAAATTAATACTGTATGCAGCTGGTGAAAAAGGACAATGGTAGAAAGTGGCCAATTTTGGACCTGACTGGCAACGAAAGTTTTTTACAGGATATCTTTCTACAGGTCCTAAGGAATCCAAAATGTATAATTGTTTACCATGGAGACGATGGGAAAGTTATCAAAAATAAACGCAAAGTTCGGAATGTCGTCGTTAGTAAAACTCACCTGATTAGTCGTCGTTGTCTTCTTCGGATAATAATCCATTAGCAACGTAATTATTTAAGAAATCTGCTGGTAAATTCATCGTAGACTGGCTTCGATTTACCAAAACGACAAATCCCACAGTTGGATGGAGCATATAATTCCCATTAAAAAATGTGATGAAAAAAACATTTTCTATTATTAAGTGTCTTTTGGAACAGTTATACTGACATATTGCTACTGAAAACATAAAAAGAGAAAAATTCATTTCTCCAGCACTCGGTAGTTAATGTGTTAAGCGCAGGAAACCACCGACTACAATGAAATAACACGAAGCAGGGTCCCAATAGATAATTCAGTAAAAAGAAATCGCTTCCCAAAATACATATAAAATCCTTGAAATTTTTATTCGTTCGAAACGACTATAGATACTCTATCTCCCCACGAACCAGCCACGAAATTTCGTGTTTACGTCACGGTATAAACCTCGATCCCAAGTTTCGCAATACACCGTGCTATTCGTTGCGTTCGCAAGATATTCAAACGTCTCCCAAACACTCAGACCAAACAGAGCACCGAATAATAATAAGTCTCTCGGATGATGGTGAGTGAGGAAAGGGTCGCGCAAGCTCACGCAGGGCTTCCCTCGCAACGTGTGATCCCGCGCGAAATGGAACGTCACGGAGAATTACAATCTATTCTTCTCGTCTTTGTAGGGATGGGTGGCTATCCAGTCCAACGCGCGTTGGATGAGCGGCGGTATCGGTTGGGGCGGCGGTGGCGTCGGTAGATGCGCCCCTTGGAAATTGGCACCATTTTCGTTGGCCAGCCAACCGAGGTTGATTTTCGTCCCATCCGGCGCTGTCCACGAGGCTGAACCACGGACCTCTTCAGCTTCGGCATCCTTCTGGCCAGGATTCTTCAAGACACCATCCTCTTGAACGATGATCCCGTTCCCGGTTTCCCATCTCGAGGAGAAACTACCGTCAGGGCTGATGTCTTGGGTTTGACTGATGATGGGTATCGGCTTGTCCGCGGCAAACGCCATACATGTCAGCGTCAGAAGGATTATCGTGCGAGGGTACATTTTTCGTATCGAAGAAGTTCTCCTGGAAAGAATTGTTAACTGAAATAACACGAAGAACGAACGTCAGAAATGAATGTTCACGCGAGCTATAGGTTACGAAGGAGAATGGTCGTTTTCGGCCCAAATGTTTTTTTAATGTTCACGAACGACTCTGGTAGTAATTGGTAGATTGTCACTTACTACAGAAAAAAGTATATTCCGACAAACCTGTGAAACTTGTAGGTTTATTTTTCTGAATGTGAATTTTTATAACGTTTTTGGTGCGGCGATAAACTCGCGATTTACCACTGCTCGTTGGTAAATTAATACCATGGAGATTGTTAAAAAGGATGGTGTGTGGTAATATGTGATTTAAATGACTTGGGACAACTTAGAATTTAATATAAACTTAACATTGTGATATATGTGTATGTGTGTATTGTTTGTGTTCTGACTGCTCGATGTGTTCTCGTTGACGGTTGAATGTGTTCTGGTAAATGAGTGAATGTATAGATGCTTGCTGGAACGGATCGACTCGTGATTGGTGGAAAATACAGAACTTTTGTTGGTGTAGGAGTTGGTGTTGGAAGAAGTGGGGATTGATGTGTGTATTGTTTCTTGGATTCCTGGAAGTCAGCGCCGAAATATAATAAGGAACGGTTTCGAGGACCGCGAATGTTTTGCACATGATGTGCAACTGTCCAGGAATCCCCGTTTAGGACGGTTTGATGACACTGATCTGTATACAGTGTGTAACAAAAATGTTGTCCGACCCGGAAATGGGGCACTCGGGGGGTGAATTGGAACATTTTTTTCCTTAGCAACAATGTAATCCGAGGCTTCGTTACCCAGATATTAACGAAAAACCCCGACCAATCAGAGCGCGAATTTGCCAGCCAAGTTCCCGCGGTAACGCTGCCTACCATTCGCAGCACGTAGCCACCGCTAGCGTGTGAATAGAAATGTCAATATCTCGAAACCCCCATTGTTAGAAATTTCTCGCAATGAATTCTTTTGTTCAATAAATGACGATCTATCAAACGCCACTAGAGTCATTGATGAACGCTAAAAAAAAATCGGGCCGAAGTGTTCATATAAACTGACTATTCTCCTGGTAAATAATTTCTAAACAAATTTATTTCAGGGGTTATTTAACCCTCGAGCAAGCGTGCCGGTTACCTCTGTTCACCAATACACGTATTTCTTTGTTTACGTCTTGGGGAAATAAATCTTGGGTATATTGTTATTAGGGGTGCCGGAAAATAATGTTGTTCTTTGTGATGGATGTTCTTTTAACTTTCTAAATTAACTTCATCTGAATTTAATTGAAGTTTTTTCTACACTAAAATAACCTAGGCAAAGGGTTATTGAAAACGATGGGGATTGTATGAATAAAGAGTGCCTTTATATGTATTTCGAAATCTGTAATAAAGTTTAGTAAAAAAAACATTACCTTTTGGTAGCTAACATTTACTTTCCCATCACATATAATTCAAAAGGTAGTTACTATCGACGGAGAACCGTTGTCGGAAGTGTATATTTCATATATAAGAGGGCTAAAATGATTATTTTCAACTCGAGAACTGAGTTCACCACGCTCCTGATCGTGTGCTTGCCAATGGTGCACCCGTTCGAAGGTTAAATTAATCTCTGCTTAAGAGGTTATTCTTCTTCGACAACCAAAAAGGTTCAGTTATTCCTAGGGAGTCTTTTCTTCGGTAAATATTGTATGTAATCAAATGCATTTTGTTAGTATTTATTGAACTACTTTTAAATAATATTAAAATATTTCAAAAACAACTTTAGCATATTTTGTTTTAAGTTTCTTCTTAGCATGAAAGTGACATCCCAGAAAGAAGGTAGCTCCATGGCGCAGGTGATTTCTCAGCACAGACTCATCTGGAACAAAAAATTCAAGAAAATTCTTAATTAGTATAAGTGTCGTTATCGCAGGAACCACAGAAATAATGTATTTTAAAAAATAACAAAATGGCGCGGATCAAATAAACAAATTAAACAGTAGCATTTTTGGTGACTCTGTTATGTAAGAAGTATGATAAATTAAAGATATTAACATGACTGTGGTTCCCGCGATAGCGATACTTATACTAATTAAGAATCTCTTTGAATTTTTTGTTTCAGTTGAGTCTTTGCCGAGAAGTCACCTGCGTCATGGAGATACCTTTTTTTGAGATGTCAGTTTCATGCTGAGAAAAAACTTAAAACAAAACAATACAATTATTTCTGCAATTTTGTTACATTATTTATTAGTAATTGAATAAATGCTAACAAGATGCATTTGATTACATATTGTATGTGCTAAGGAAAAAGTCCCTCAATACAGCTAACTTTTTCGGCCATCAAAATAAAATGACCTCTTAAATAATTATTTAACCGTATATCGAGAGCCACGTAGCTCGTTCGGGTAGCTTGCATTCTGTAATCAGAAAGCGCCGACGTATTCGTCCGTGATGTTCAACTGTATTAGCAATATAAACGCTGAAATGATGACTTTAAATTGTTAAACACTTGTATTTTTATAACTGGTAATTTTTGAAACGTTAAATAGGACCTGATCAATTACAGAACTGCAAATGATGCTGTAAACAAAAGAAACACTACTTTCTAAGTAAAACGAAAGAAACGTGGTGGCAGAAGCTTGGTACTTTCTGATTAAAATTCTGCAATAAACTGCGGCACTCGAACGATTAAATAACAAATTATTCCTATTTAGACAATTTAAAATTAGATAATTCAAATGGAAGAAAGACATAGTATATCAATAGTACTCAATTGGAAAATTGGGAAATCTTTAATTTCTTCTTTGGTTTAGAAACAATATTATAAATGTGTATTGTGGATAACAGCCTTCTTCTTTGAAACGCAGACGTACTTACATATAGTAGCATTTTGGTAGAAGTTAAAACAAGGATTTTATTATTTATTATTTCAAGAAGTCCATTGTTGTCCATGTAAATTGTTAAGAGCTTATCGTACCTTTTCTAAAGAAAAATTGATAAAAAATGGTAATATTAATTAAACAACAATGATTGGAATTTGAACAAACAAGGAAAACCTCAAAACTATATGTAATTTGCTTCGAACTTTATCACAAATAAAAAAAGTAATCTTCATTTGACAACGGGAAATGATAAATGAATTATATCTGGAACGATTGAAATTCGTTCGAATACAAAATTTTGTTATTATGTTACTTATTAGTAGTAAATTATTACAAATTCTTTAAATGACTCCTTGCCCAAGACTGTTGGTAACACATCAATAACTTATATTTAATGTTCTTTAATGCATTTAAATTAAATGCTGTTGAACTTCAACGTATTCGAATTGTCAAATGTATCAAAGGATGAAGACTATTCAAGAGAGTAAAAAGAATAAAAATTTCCATACTTAAATGTGCTAGATTGTATTATTTACCTAATGGTATCGTTAGAACGTGGAATATTTCTTCGATGTAAGGCTACCGATCCACGTCTGCTTCGGTTCGTGATTTGCCAGATATCGCGTGTAAAATCCTACTGACGAACGGTCGTTCATCGCATGCACCTTTTATAGTTTGAAATACTCTTCGCTATCACCGACATTTTCCATCAAATGTCACTCGGTGATACCGGTTCAGCCTTCGTATGACCGGTATCACGTATTAAAGAAAACCTTTCCGGCTAGATTACGGGACGACCAGCAACCTGTAATCAATCCGCACCTAGATCGTCGATTAACCGTCACTGTAAATTGTGTAAATATACACTCGATTTAAATAATCACTAATTACGCGTCGAGCATCGTGTCGAACGCATTGGTTCTGAGACGTTTTGTTGAAAGGAATTAAACGAAACGATCAATTTCTGTAGGCATTAAAAAAAGACCGTCATGATATCTCTGAAACGGTACTGAAGTCTTAATAGAAAAGAGCAAACAGTGACGAGCAGACGAAAAATGGACCAGACGAATTGGTCAAGTTGGTAATGTTTTACCCGATCCCATATGATAACTAAAACGTTATTCACCTTCATGTAATACATACTTGCAATAATATTATAGCCGTCAAATATATAATTTTCGAGTGTCCGAAAAATTTAATTATTACTTAAAAGTAAAAACTTATTTCCATTGGTTATTTGTTAAAAATTCTTTAAATAGAAATCTTCCAAACTCTGCTCTCAACGAGTCTACAATAGAAGCTGTTTCAGATATTCTCAAACAAAAAGAACGAACAGACGGCAATTCAAACATTTCTGTTTGTCTAATGTTTATTGTTTTCTCTCGTGACGATAAGGAGAATGCATAAAGTTAGACCTATTATTTTAAGATCACTCTGTATATTGACAGAATTTGTTTAATTGCAGCATTGAAAAGGAAAAGCAATATCTTTCAATCGCTGTCGTCATTTCAACGAAGCTTGACTGTGTAGAGTTAAAATCATAATGTTGCGTGGATACAATTGATCTTACGGTGTAGAGTAACCTTTTTCCCACGTTAAAGGGCCGCAACATTTGAAAAATGGCCTGTCAAACTAAGCGTGGTTGTAATGAGCGGAATCACTGACTTTTGAATACATCGTACAAGGTATTCTAATGTCTCAGTACCACCCAACTTCTTTCACTGCGACATGTAGCATCAGTCACCTGTCCATTTAAATGCTCGTCACACTTAAACGATACTCATAAATGGGAGACACCTAAAAAAACATGCGTATTCTGATAGAAATTTGTAAGATAATGGTGTCTCAATGTCCAACCAAATTACGACTTAGGGATAAATACATATAGCAGTTGCTGAATATTCTATGATTACTGGTGAAGTGACACCCTTTTTCCATTCTAACTGTTACCTGACGAACCTTGTCCTCGATTTAGAGGTTAAAAAGACTGGAAAACTTTTGAAAGGTGTCCATTTATCAAGCAGACATTTGATTCGCTTAAACCGTAGTTCATAAAAAGGAATCTTCTTACCAACAGTGAAAATATATCGATAATATATCGTAACGCCCGTTGTTTTATATTCAATAAGTGTCCTAATACAGTTGTATTCCGATCATCCGGTACATTCCGGACTTCAACGCTGGCAGATTATAAAATATGTCGGATTACTGGACTATATCTGTAATACGGTGAAAACGAGGAAAATAATTTGAACGACGGCCATGGTTAATATAGTAATGCTATTTACCAAGAATATAAATTCTTTAAATGACAACTTATCCAAGATTGTTGGTAATACATCGTTATTAGTAATAACTTATTACATAATATGTGTTTGTATACAGAATTATCTTTTTGTAATTTGTAATGGCAAACAAATATGTAATTTATAAAAACAAATACAATCTATAAATTTAACAATAGTTGCCTTAAATACAACTTACATGTATGATTTTACAGTGTACTTAAAAATAATATTTGTATAAAGTCAGTAAAATTAGGCGTAAACATTATTCAGACTTATAAAATTGATGCAATTTATCAATCGCAAATAATTCCCCCTCCTGTAACTTGAAAATCTTCCGTGCGGTCTTTAAAGCCTCGTAAAGTTTTCGTAAATTTGTCGCCGAAATTTCCATTTCTGGCGGCGTACGCTAGATGTGTGTAATTGCAATATTCCTCTGCCAGATTCAGTCTGTTTGTAAGCAGTAGAATGCGGCGGCAGCCATATTTGTTGTTTGTGTACATTATAATATGAGTTTGAAGAGGAAGAAACCGTCGATGGCGCGGGTACCTCATAATGAGCTCGACATGGATTGAATTTTTTGTAATTTTCGAATTTACCGTTCTCGTAACGGAGGGGGCAGTAGAAATTCTTTGATTTTTTTGCACGATCACTATTTCAGAACATGTCACAGGAAGTCCCATAAGATGTTAAGGCGCTTCTATATCTCCTCCGTGGACACGATCGTGATCAGAGCTTCGCATACCGGATCATTGAATGCCAACTTATTGGAATTCTACTGTACTTAAGACCGGGAGTATACATAAGTATTAAAATGGGATGCTGTGTATGAGTTTGAGTCCTATCTCGACCCAGTTTGAGTGTCTTCTTGAGGATATGCCGCATCACCACATATGTAGGGAGAGTTCCCTTAATGGGTCATGCTCAGCCAGGAGGCTGAAAAAAGAGTGTTCTTTGGGAACTTTTTTCTCGAAAACTATAAGACCTTTTTCAAAAAATGTGTTCGTGTTTCAAAATTTGCAGTTTCTAGATTATAAGGTAATTTTTTTATTTAATAATATTTATTAGTAAATAAATGGTGAGCGATCTCCTGGATGTCTCTTCACAAAAAGTGGTCTGCCGTGATCATTGTAACATAATAACGGTTCATCTGGAATTAAAAATTCAGTAAGATTTATGTAATGGAAGAACCAATCTTGTCCTTGAACGTGGGGTTTTTCGAAATATTGATTAGGAACAAAATAGCGGACGTTTTCCTGAAAAAGTGTGATTTTCACCTACAAAATCACTCGTTTTTGGGCAATTAAAAAAAAAGTATGGAACGAACAAAAGAATTGTTCGTTCAAGGACAAGTTTTTCTGATTTGAAATAAGGCGCAAAAGGCTTCATGTAAATCGACACAGTAGTTTTCGAGAAATATTGATCACCGATTTGAAAAATGTAGTTTCGAGAAAAACGCGTTTAAAGTTTCAAGTCAAGCTTACACTTGTATTAATTGTTCATTTTTTAACGCTTGTAACTCTGTCATTTTTAATTGGATTACCTTGAAACTTGCACAGAATATTCTCGAGATGTTGTACTTAAGTGAAAAATCGATTTTTTGAAAATTTCTGACTGAGCATGACCCCTTAAGAATAAGAACATTGTTCCTGGAGGATCTGGCCCCGAAGTGAATAAAGCAAGGGTGCCTTCTGGTAACAGGACTCTAATATATTACACGGCACTTACTCCAAAATCTCTGACCAGAACAGTTCATTTTTCTAATTAACTTTCAGATATTTCTAACGTATCATTAAAAATTCCTTCAAATTAAGCAGTCATCGAGTGTCCTATGAATCTATCTTGGAGACCAGCGCTATCATACTGTCTTCACGGTCTGTATCCATCACTGAAGTGGTCCAGTCCACACCTGTTATAAGACACACCAGTCTTCGGGTCCCATATTTCGTTTGTTTAATAATGTTACGATTTTAGAGACTTTTTCGATTTAATCTTGTCTTTTCCGAAATATTCTTAGGTCTGTAAAGTATGTTAGAAATTAAGTATGTTAATATTACTTTAATCCTCCGTCGAACAAGCGATCTTTGAAACCTCTATATTTTTAACACGACTCTGGCGTTCATCAGATTTACATATCGTGGGTGAAAAAGACAGCAACGCAGTAAAAACAAATTTTTCTATTCCTAAATCAGCACTATTATAAAAATACAGATAATATTAGTATGAAAACTTGTTAACTATATTTTTTACACATATAAGTCGTATGTTCTTTACATACCGGATTCTTACAGTTGACACAAACTCTGTCACATTTTTTGCGGTCTTTGATTGAGCAAATAAAGCAACGTTTTTTTTGTCCGAATTTTGGTGGATATATTTTCTTTTGCTGGTACATCGAAGTTTCTCATATCTTCCACAACACTTCTTTGTAATTGAATATTTTTCGATCTTCTTTTCATATATGGCATAATAATCTGCGAAGACAACTTTCTACAATAATCTTCTTCGGTCACTTCTCTCTTTCTTATAGCCAGAATTTTTGTTCATAAATAAAATACATGCATTGAACGCAACTACATCTATTATGTTACTCCAAACTACTCCTTGGCAACGGTGCAGCTAACACAGGAGTGCTCTGTAACGTGGGGCAGATCTAATCATAACATTCTCGAAATGTATTAGTCTACTCAAAATCCCACCACTATAAATTAAGCTACGATATTTAAGAATGTCGAATAATAAACATTAGAGTCCACTGGATGTGTAAACAGAATCTGTACAGGGCTATGTGTGCATACTCAATTGATGGGTATAAAACACCCAACTTATGAACATTATTACATATATGAATCCGCAAGTAAGGAATCCAAGAAGCCTCATGGAATTATTTCTTTATACAAAAAAGAAATCTACGAATAGATATTCAAGTGGGTATAAAATACCTAAGTACTCACTTGTCAGTTGTACTACGAACACAGAAAAGAATCAAAGGGACGGTTAGCAAGCGTATGGAGGGTGTTGCATGAGAGTACACAGCGAGAGATTTCTTCGGCAAAACGCTTTTTATTTATATACAAAAATCACAAGTTAAAATATACGTAATGTATATACTATCGACGCTATTGTTACGCGTCCACGCAGCTGCGATGGCGTCGTTCTTTTTTTTCTCGCGTTTTTTTTTTTATTTACGTATTGAAAGTAGCGTGCGCGCATCGGCACGATCCTGTCGTAAGCTGCTGAACAGTGCGCATCACTTTCTTCTATACAGGTAAGGTAAAGAATCTCGGAAGTATATAGTTATTATATATACCGGCTGGCTCGCGCCTTAATATTTTTTCGTTTTGTTACGTATAATCCTAGATTAATATACCACACTATATTTATTTTTATGGTTGCATCGGAGGCCCGGGGTCGGTTCTGTCCATGGCAAGCTGGCTCGAAGTCAGGTCACGTTTGAGGTATTGTTCGCCCGTTTAACCTGCGGAACATAGGACAGCTTGATTAAGTATCGAACAAACACGTTTGAATTTATCATTCTCTTTCTCTATCGTATCGTTGAAAATAGCTTGATTTTTTCACAAACAACTTGAACACAGATCAGTGTGTTTTTAGACCCCCTGATAAAGCTAGCTGCAATGCTTACGAAACATTGGGAAAACTATTCCATAAAGATACGGCTTGCACCCGAAAGTCTCAACAGTAAGAACTTGAACACAGTGTTTCACCCTTACAATCGCGCTGAAATCATATTATTTCCAGCGAAAAGTAGCTAAATAAAGTAGCTCACGGTACAATTGTAAATTATACTAGGCGACCGGTTGATATAGGTCCTGGAACCTATACAGTAAGGACGTAGATTTGGTAGCAAGTTGAAGTTTACATGTTTCGAGTGATGAAACAGCAACAGAATTGGGCAGAATTTTATTCGAATAATACACAGTGAAACGCAGCAGTATCTAAGGGTATCGTTCTGAGCTTTAAACAGTTAATGAGACTAACACTAGAACTACCAAAATTAAAATATTATAACTTTACATTATCTCAAATCTTTCAGAATTTATATTACGATACGAAAGTGAAGAAATGTGCTAATTTATAAATTTGTAAATTTTCAAAGGTTTGTCATATTTATCGACCGATCGAAAAATAAATAATTGTCCGATAAATGTCGATTCATTCATAAAGAAGTATTATTTTATTATAAAAATTGAAATTTCCACGTTTAAACAATTAAAAATGACGAAATACTTTTTCTTATCTTTTATTCGTTATTCAAAACTTTTCATCTAGATAATGAGTTTACCATTTCTGAAAAAAAAGGAACGTACGATGTCAACTCGAAATAAACTGTACGTCCTAATTCCTAACAACTAAATGATTATCCTTACTCATATAATTATTGATCACGGAAAAACACCTGACAGTTTTAATAAAAAAACATAAGGAGAAAATTTATGTAACCAATTTATAAACAACTTCTGACAGCAAAAGTGTTAAGATCTTGATATAATAATCTTGATGGTCATGAAGTAATAGAAATTAATGAAACTAAAAATCTTGGCGTTTGGATTACACCAGTGTTAAATTTTTCAAAGCACTACAATAACATTGTAAGCACTGCTCTCAAAACATTAGGCTTTATCAAACGTTTCTCTATTAATTTTAAAAATATTAACACCATTAAATTACTGTATTTTCAATTAGTCCGGCCTCAGTTAGAGTATGCTTCAACAGTCTGGTCTCCTCAATTTTCAAAATATATGTTAATGGTAGAAAGAGTGCAGCATAAATTTATCAGGTACATTGCCTTTAGACTGAACACCCCTATGCGGCGTAATGATCACGACTATGTACCTTTATTAAACACACTAAATATGACTTCTTTGGCTGATCGCAGAGTTGTCAACGATCTTTCTTTTTTATTCAAGCTTATAAATGTACTTATAATGTAAACTAAATATGGTTCAGGCGATCCAATTTATCGAATCCTGAAATCAGCCAATAATTTCACGGATCTGATTGACTTTTTCAGTGGCTCTATTGAATACTTTAAGGTATTCCTACATAGAGCACTAAGAACTGTTTAATCTTGTTAATATTTCATTAAAAATTTCCTGTTGTGACTAATTCCATACTGTATAATATATTGATGTAACTGTTTCTAATCTTATTGTCATTAATTGTTATATATGTATACTGGGTTAATACCCGTTAAATTACTAAAATAAAAAAAAAAAAGAAGATACTCTTCTATAAGACGTGTATGTCTCTGGCTACATCAATAGATGTCCCTGCTTAATTCTTTAATTCAACGACCATGCTGTATAAGGTTCCACCTGACCTGTATTCCTAGAGTTAAATTGCGATGTAATTAAGGAAAAAGAAGCAGACCTCGGCCAGGTGGTCGTGGTTGACCGCCGTCGTCCTCTTCGGGGTGAGCCGCGTTCCACTCGAGCGCCCTTTGGATCTCTGGCGGTATTGGAGGTGCCGTGGGGATGTGAGAGCCTTGCACCTGGAAACCGTTCTCGTCGGCCACGTACGTGATGCTCACTTGCTGACCATCGGGCGCCGTGTACGAATCTGAGCCCTGCGAGACCACGGGTGTCTCATTGTCTACCTGCTTCGGCTGGCCCGACTCTTGGTGGCTGATCCCGTTGCTCGTCTCGAAGCTGAGGAATGATAAGAAATCGATCACGTTTCGTATCATCGACGAAAGAAGAAATGAATATAAAAGGTTGGATCCAGTAGCAGTAATCGCGTTAAGTATCTCTGGAGTCATGTAAGCGAGAGGATATTTTTTGTATGCGAATTATTTGGCACGAAAAAGTCTCTTCTCTCAGATGGACTCATGGAATATGGAAGTCAAAATAACGGTAGACAAAATGCTCAGGAATAAATGTTTTAGAAACTGCCAATGAGAAATGAATAGAAAAATATGTGTTGTAAAGAAATAGCTATGACATTCGTGTTTTACTAACGATATTTTCTACCAAGTCAGATTTATTCAGAACATTTTTCTTTAGTCGTCATGATTCTAGAGGTTCTAACCACTAGTTTGTATTGTAAGAGAGAAGTGCTTTTGAATTTTCTTGTCTGATGTACTTGTTTAAGTAATTGCTACGTAGTGTTCTTTAGATTATACTGAGCTAATTTACTTTAATTCTTCTATAACTCGATTTGTTTATGATTCTTTATGATGCAAAGTATTATGGGAAAGAAATGTTTCCTTTTGGATTAATACATATCTTGAATAAGGCACTGAAGATATGGTAGATTCTTATAGCATATCTTGAACTGTATTGCAATAACATAAATTATATAAATATTGCCATAAAGGGAGGCAAATTGTTCACTTATTACAAAGTCACGCTACGAATCCAGTTCAATTTCTAAACTCAAGATTGTCTATTTTCCCCAATGTGAACTTTCCTTAAAAAAATGAAAATAATGTATTTATTATAATCATATAAACCGATTTAAAAAATGCAGTATGAGAAGACATAAATTTAGTATCGGAATTTTAATACCACTGCCTACTGTGTGTTCAGCAAAAAAAAAAGATGCAAAAGAAGAATAGGTTAAATTATTTCCTGTAGATTTATAAAAATTTTCTATTAAAATCCCACCGTTGAAAATTGAATCCTGGTGTGAGAATACAAATTGTCGATCCTTAACAGGTCATGCAAAAAGGTACGATCACGTAACTAAAGGGGAAACGTTCGGTACAGTAGCGATTGGCTCAGCCACCATGTAACAATATACTTATGCAGAACAGAGATTGCCGTGGGCGAGAATTGCGAATCACATGAATAACCCAGCGCCATTGGGGCTCGAATACCTGTTATCCTCTGTCCATTGTTTTCAACTTGTGTAATTACTTTGCTCATTGTGCGCTCGCGTGCCATACAGCCGACGAATAAAACCAATGCTTTGCAACATGTCGACCAATAAAACGCCCATTGAACCTTGTAACATTGTACTTGATCTTTCCTATCAGGTGTAACAAGTGATAAGTTATTCTTTTTTGTTCATGCACTGAAATCTTGTATTGTTTCTATTACATTCGTCCTTGTTCTCCAAAGCTCTGCACCAACAAGGGAGAAAGTTGTTTTCTATTGAAACTGCGATAATGATAGATTGAAACAAATAATGAATAATTCAGTCTTAGATGTAATTTATTTTTAGTAAGTTTTACTACCAGCCAAAATTGGACAATACAAAATTAATATAAAAATAAAGCCTGTATTAATATACAATTTACTGATTGCACTCTGTAAATTACATTTACTACTTTTTTAATAAAATGTTTCTTCTCTTTTCGCGTAATATTTACTATATATTTTTACTTTGTTTAGATGTATTTTGTTACTTTAATCCGTTTGGGTGTAATGATCAATCTTGCGTTAATTTTTCTCAAGGGAATGAAGATTAAGTTGATGAGTTTTACGATTTGTTTCTTCTGGTGAAAACTTACTTATTCACGTAATTGCCATCGAAGTTAACTTCGAGCTGTTGCGATGTGATCACCGCATCTTTGTCAGCGCCGCCTGAAGGCCGTTGAGGTGCAGCTAACGTCCCTGTCGTACAGAGTACGACCGCCACCAACACCTGAAATCAAGTTCCTTGACGTCAGAGAGGGGTATTGAAAGGTCTCGTGAGAATGAAATCGCGCCTTAAAAAAAGGTGAACATTGCTGTAGACATGGAATTAATTACAAGAACGAAATCTTTCTTCGGTAAAAGGTATTCCAAATGAAGAAACTATTTTTCTAAGATATACAAGACCTGTTGAAAAATTATCACAAAAAAATGTCACAAATGTTAATACTAGTTAAGAAATTATTGTAAGTTATTTAAGGATGAATGTTTTTCTGCAAATTGCGATTTTCGTCGATCTTTTAGAGACATTTTAACAAAAAAAAATTTCTTTCGCCAATTAAAGGATCTAATAAGTTCAGATTAAAATTAAGAAAATTCATTAATTTCAGATTAGACTCTTGCTTTATACTGTTTTGTATATTCGAGAGTTTCATATTATAAAATTATATTCATATTTGAAATTGGGCAACAGACCAATACTTATTTCTTACTGTTAACTTTATGAGTTTATAAGTAATTATCAGTGTAAAGGTTTCTCTGATTCTAAAATTGTAAACTTTTGTATCATTGAACACCGTGGAATGATGCTCAGACTGCGTCATCCTTTGCGTGTTTCGCATACACGATGAATACTAATTTCTGCGTCTGAGTAAGCACGATCACTTATTTCGAATTTATGCAAAATCTGAGTGAAGTCGGAGGAAAGTGATAAATATATGAAAGTTTCATAGAATTGAAAGTGCAAACAAAGTGATTATTTCACAACATTTTGAGGTCAAGTATAGGCTCTCAATCCATGAGTCACACTACAATACTTGTAATCGTACAGCAAGTCGTTGGGTGCCAAATTAAATAGAATTTATTATTCATCACTTTCGTAGATCGTTATAAAAAATGTGAGGTAGCCAATACTTGTCATTAGCATTTCATTCGTAAATGCATTGAAGTAAAACAAAGTCTGTATAAAGAAACTTCTAAAAAAATCGAGATTTCAGTTAAATACTCGTTGAAGAAATATACCTATATTTAATAAAATATACATATAGTACCACCTCAAAAATATTTGGTCGCTTACTGTGTGCACAGTTTATGAACAAAGAAGACAATGAAAGAGGATACCAACCATTGCTTTACGCTTTTATATCACCAGTTCTCTTCAGTTTCAAGTTCATATACATGGTTCTCTTCTACTCAATCGACAGGACACTCAACTGTTGCCAGGAATAGTGGCCCAAAGTTAAAAGAAAATGTGCAGCAAACTGTTCAATATTAATCAGGACGTTCAAACAGGAAAACCTAGTATCAAATTAAAATACACAAGAACTCAAGTACCTATTTATATTTACTACCTTAAAAAAGGTCAAATCCAACATTTAATCAGACAAACGATAAAATACGTGTGAATAGTGGCGTCTATACTGAATACTTCACTCACATCATATTTCAAGACCACAAAGTCTTCGCTAAACGAAGAAACCATACCGTCAGATTATCCTAATCAAGTGCTCGACAACCACAACAATGTCGGCCGCGTTAAATCACCGCTTCCTCGTGTACACAATTATCTTAATCATAGGCCAGTAGCGTTTAATGAAACATAAGGTTGCAACGACTGGTCCAAGGACTTCCGCGTGGATCGTCCGCGAAACAGATCGAGACCGGCGGAACACGATAGGAATCAAACGGTTGATCCCCTAGCATTGGGCGGGAGGGATAGGGGGGCGTTCGTACAGCATCCCCGGGGGGCAATTAACTTTAATTGGAACGCGAGTCCTCGACTTGCTCTTTGTTTCGTGACTGCAAAAGAGAGGTAGCAGCGCCTGGGAAACACGTGGGACAATGGGGGGATGCCGATCCCTAGCCGACGTCGGGTTTGCAAAACCTTTTCGTTCAAATATTCATAGAATTCGTGAAAGTAACGTGTGGCGTGGCTGCAAAAGGGCAACACACCGAGGACGACGGATAATGCCTAAGAAACGACACGACCCAACGGCGCTGCGGGTTACATCAGTTGCAAATGACATTATGAAATACAAGGCGTAATGGCGGGACGCGAAAGTGGTACTGGCTGTAATGCGCCCGTTTATTTCTTCTTTTTTTTTTTTCAGTCTTTCTTTCTCCGTGGCACGTCGTCCGTGAAACGTGTAATTTCATTCAAGAAACCCCCATCAGCCATGAAGCTGCTCCGTGGAACATCCCGCGCCCTAAATGTCAGCCCCCTAACCGGATTGCTTTTCATCGTACCGGCTGCTCCTCGCTCGACGCATGCGCACGGCTCGCGGAAATGTCTTTGCCTTCACAGATGTTGCACACGGTGAATCACAGTAGCATTTCGTACCCTCCTCAGTCATTGTTGGGGAACGATTGATATTTACTATGAATTTTACACGATTTAAGATCTTTATCGATTTGAATATTACAAGTGACATACAATAGTCTATATACATCACCAGATAAAAGTATTGGAGAGTTCATAATTGATGAAACCATTCTGTTACGATATAATAAATGTTACGGGATCGGTACATATAAAAATCATTTCCAATTAGTTTTAGCACATTGCTTTTTATTAATTCTTTAGGGAGTAATATTTTCGACATTCTTTAATTAATTATCAGACATGGTCTGGGTTAGGCTTCGAATTCTATAAAAATGGCAGAAAAAATCGTTTACACTGTGTCTTTTTTAAGGATATACTCCTTTTTCATAAATGTATGTCATCTTTGAAAAATCGTTACCTAAAATTGACTATAAATGCTTGCATTTGAATTAATTTAAACCAGTGTACCAGTTAGTTCTAAATGTATTACTTGTACTATTAATTAAATATTTAGAAATTCATTTTTCGTACAAGTTCTAACCCCATTCAATACACGGTAGATAGCAATTTTATTTTATGAAAAAAGTTGTTACTCTGTATTACACTAAATTTATTAGATGGATTTTATAGTTTTTAATTAATATTTGGATGGCTGTATCTCGTTTATGATTGAAGAGACTAATAAACAAAATTTTAAGAATTTCCGGAAAAGATTATTAAACTTCCGATTGTTGTACCACTAATTTCTGTTAAATATTGAACTGACCATTTTAAATATGAAACAAATTTAAGAACATTACAGTAAAGTAACACCTTAAGAACCTTCGAATTACCAATGGCATCCAATAGTGCCTTTCCCTTAACAAATTTCAGAATCTTGTCTGTTGTTTCAAAAATGTTTACCTAGATATCTTTTGAGCTTACCGTGAAATGCAATATAAGTACAAGTGGAGATTGGATTATATGGATTTATAGGCAGACAGCGAATGTTTATGCATATTGAAAGATTCGAACACTAGTTTCTAAATATAATAATTCGAAATTTATTACTCATACTAGTTTCATTCTGAAGAACGTTGTTTCACCCTGTTTTACAGGTTTAAGGGATACCTACTGTGAATGCAAAATCGTCCACTGTATATAGGACACAGTTGTTATCCAAAACTTATTACAATAAAGAATTTAATACAACCCAAGGGTTGTCGTGTCATTTACAACTTCCTAGTACCTCAATAAAGGAACACATCATAAATAAACTATTCGTAGTTTGCTCAAAAGTTATCACTTCAGATCTACAGATACAATGGTATTCTAGCACAAATGAGCAAAACGTTTAAAAAAATGATCAGTCCATCATTTCCTGCATCAAGATAAGAATTCAAATTACAGAAGGCAATTCAATTTTAATTTCAGCATATAGACGTTTGCTTGCAATTGCTCAAAGGAACTAGGTAACATTTTATACGCCATCTTTAATCGAAGAAGATTTCTTCCACCTTTATGTTCTAGCTTCTCACTTCCTCATAGAACGCGTTCCTGATCGCCGATCACGAGGAACAGCGGGACGTGAATGGAACCTTATCCGGGACACGATTTCATTCTCGTAACAATGTAATCGATATTTCGATTCTCCTTGACCGTATGACCGAGCTGGAACAAGCGATCACTTCCTACGTGTCGTGTACCCTCCCAGACAATGAAGTCGCAGAAGGCCAAGCGACGTCGGTTACGTCGACGGGAGAGGACGGGGAGATCGAAGTCAAGCCTCTTGAGAAGATTCGTGTCGGACACTTACAGTCCAGTAACTATATGTACTAGCAGATGAAAAGTTACCACTTTCTCGATTTGTTTTATTTTTATTATTTTATACCGTCAATGTAAAACTGTAGCATATGTTTAATATATATTTTGACAGAGAATTAAAAGCTGTACAAAACCCAATATATTAAAGTACTAAGTTGATGTTGAGAAATAATAAAAATAAAAAGATAATAGAAAAGTGGTAACCTTGTCCATTACTGCATGTTATATTCTGATTTCGAAATCCGTCAATACATAAAAACTAGTTTTATCATGGACTTCTCTTGGATTCTAGGATTAACTAGTCAATTCTAGAGATAACCAAATGTATTTAAGAATAGCTGGATGTTACCTAAAAATTGTCCAGGTAATACTCGTTTTGAGTAGTTTAAATCGGCATTGACGAAACACCCTCACCATTAAAACTCGTTTTCGGGTGAAGTCAGTTGCAACTAAGAAAAACTAGTAATAAGTACATAATTTAACAACAATAAATAAATTTATTATGTATTTTATCTGATGAAACGTTAGAAGTTTTTCCTCGACACATGCTTCTCTACTATAAGACTGATACGAAATACAAAAGGAAACGGACCCAAAAATATCTGACCGTAAAAACCATTTTATAAGACCGATTTTAATCAAAACTAATCAAAACTGTGAATATATTATATTAAACACTTTTCTCAATAGTAACTAGTTTTAACTAACAACACACATTTAATTCCAGAATTTGTTACAACTAGTACTGACTCGAAAGATCGGGTCTTGACGGAATTTGGGTTCGAACTGTAACATGTACAAGATATTTTCAAAATGGCGGTACAGCCCGCAAGTATGTGATTTTACACTTATTATAGAATAACATTTTATCGTACGACGCTTCGTTT